GAAGGCCATAAAGTCGTGGTTGGATTGCACTTTTGGGGTACAATCGATACCAGTTGCCTTGCCCTAAGTGGTATATCACGGACCGCAAATGTCTCCCAACTTCGGCTTTACTCCTATTCATTATAGATGTAATATTCGCATTGTCGATCTTCCGATAAGGACCTTCAGCTAGATGTTGCTTAACCTTCTGTAAATAATCACTCTTGTTCATAACAACACTGGCTTTACCCTCATCCGCCTTCGTAATCACTATGTTGTCCGCCCGTTTTAGGGTGTTTAAGGCTCTTCGCTCTGCCGGTGTAATATTTGGAGCTCCTGCCTGCTGAGACTTAAGGACTGTGACTAGCTGTACCCGTAGCCTCTCTGCCTCCATTGACGGAAGTTTTTGAAACACAGATTCAACGCTAGGGATTATCTCTTCCGCCCTTATCATTCTTTTGCTCACTGCGAAATTCAAGCCCTTCTCTAGCAGAGTGCACTCTTCTTTACTTAGCGGTCTATTTGATAAATTTACCATGCTACAATAGCTAGTAGGTGGCTTAGGCTTAGTCGTGGGCTCCCTTGAAATCTGAGTCTTAGAAAGCAATTTTTCGAACTTACGTCTTTGTCTCTCTTTTGTTGGTTGTCTGTTTGCTCTGTTTCCTCTATTTTGCTGAACGACCGTTTTTAGCATGGAAACATGGTTAGGGTACTGGCGGATGGACCACAGTGTCTCTCTTTGCAATGTTGTCTGTTTGCTCTGTTTCCTCTATTTTGCTGAACGACCGTTTTTAGCATGGAAACATGGTTAGGGTACTGGCGGATGGATTGACCACAGTGCACCGTTTGATTAGTGGGAAGGGGGAAGGGATCGGTAAATGAAGAGTTGCAAGACCAGCTGGTCATACCGAGGAAACAATTTGTTTGCAGTAGCCTACCTAAAACATTGAACTTTGAAGACATACCCATAAGACATTTGAAGGATGTGGGTTTTTCTTCTGGCGATCCGACGGTATCCTTTGGTTCAGGAGTATGACTCGAGGTAGCTCAGTGGTTAAGGCGCCAGGCTGGACCAGAAGTACCTTGGTTTGAACCCGGCCTCAGCACATTGACTGCTCCCTGTCTAGGCGTGGGTAACCTGACAGTATCCCAGCCCTCATACCCCCTTCCGTTTGCATGGCAGTTAAACACCGAAAGGGTGCTACAGCTGAACGCTTATCATTTATCTTTTAAGGGTGTAACTCACGAGGGAGCGAGTGGTAAAATTTACTTAGGGACTCTACCCGGAGTCAGTGACTTAGAAGTCCTCACTCCGAACGCCACTGTGCATATAAGACACATTTGGAGTTGGGTTTTAACTGTATCGGATGTTTCTTCGTCGGCCAGAGTCAACTGTTGGGCGATTGTGGTGTGCGATTTTTATGGCCAATCTTTTCTAACTCGTTGTTCCTCCGGTAAAAAGCAACACTGCTGCTTGAATAACTATAGACACGCTGGTCGCCCAGAGGAAACGCTATCTTGCCTTTACACCTATTTCACAGGCCAGTACTACATGGCCTTCGGATCGCTTCGCATTGCAATTAATCCTAGCCTGTGGGTTTGGTGTTCCCTTCCGTCCATCATGGTATGGTCACACTTTGTGGAACAGACCTCATGCTGATGCAAACCACAGGGTCACTTAAGCCCGACCACCACACAGGTTGGCAGCTTTCGATCGAGAACATGCACTACGGGATAACGAGGGTCAAGTAGATGGGAAGAACCATCAGCACTTTGAACAAGCGCCAGAACCGGTGTCGCTTACTGAATCGCATCAATTTTGTTTTGTGGTTCGATCTCGAAAGATATTCTGTTTGGGAAAACAGTGAGGGGGCATTGACAACAAAGGCAGATGACTGAAACCCGTGACGCGATGATTAAGTTCACAGGCCGAATCGCTTTCATTGTTAAAAAGCAGTGGGAATAAGTCGGTACTGTGTGATGAGTTCATCAGTCAGCTGCTGACTTTACTACTCAGTGTGTTTCCATTAACAGGTAGATGAGTTTCCTCCACACGCTTTTCCGTTGCGGATGTCCGTTGATTCCCCATATCAACTGGAAATAAAGTTTCGCTCTTGCTGTAGTTGTGCTATACTTGACAGGAGACAAAATGTAATACATTATTTTTATATAACACAGATACATTTATTTGCATAAACGTTCTAAGCAGCTTTCGCAGTGAGTTCACGCTTTTATCCGTCAGCCTGACTTTCCAGTTTTTTTTTTGAAGAATTTTGTTTCGTTTTGTCGCCAACACGTCTGCTTGAAAGAGCGAACGAAAGCCATTGAACGAAGAAGTTCTGTCACCAAAGGTCACAGTATCTCTCATGGTGACATACTTGGCGCAGATCAACGGGTTTTCCCCAACTAATATGGGTATTTTTGTTCCAGAATCTGCCCTTTATTGTGCATTTTATTGTGCAGACCACAGATATATCATTCATTAGATTATTTTTTTCAGCTGCTTAAGAAAACGCGAGCGTGCTATTCTATCCAACATCCCTGAAGATACTTCAGCGACACAACCAAGACCACTTCGGGATTCAGTTATAAATAATTAGGATCCACTCAAAGGGCGATAGGTCCATAGTTACAGTTCATCAGTAGCGTCTCACTTGCGTCGGTCTAAAGCTGTGAAAATTGACAACTCATCATACCGCCTGTGTATTACACAGCCGTTGCGTATCCTGTAGGCCTTAATGCTGGACGGCATACTGTCATTTTCTAGTGTTCAGTCATCATCTAATATGAATGATAAATTTTAATCCGAATTTAATTCTTATGCCCTCTTCTTATCCGGCGCAGTTTGTGTGGCCCCGCCACATAGTACTGACCTAACTTAGTTGCCATTTACTGCATCACTAAGTATGGCCCGAGGGGATGTTTCTTCTCATAAGTGAGTTTCCTTCTAAGTGCGGTTGCAACATTGTGGAATTTTCTGCAAATACCATCAGCACCATTTCACCATATTTAGTAGTTCATTATCAGCACGACTTCATTCTCTTTAGTCACAAACGTTCGCTTATCCTCAAATAAAAAAACAACTCTCACCAACAGTATATGGATTGACTCACCGATAAAGACATCATTTTCCTCTCTGTTTCAGCTCTTGTTGTATGGCTGTGAGACTTGGCCTATTCGAGCAGCGGACCTGAGACGTCTTCAGGTGTTCGACAATCGTTGTCTCAGAACCATAGCTCGTGTGGGTTGGTGTCAGCGAATCCGTAACGAGGCAGTTAGAAAGCGTGTTTTCGGTTGTGTAACAGGTACTTCCATTGAAGAATGTGTC